CCCCAAAACCCCAAAACCCCAAAACCCCAAAACCCCTGTAAACTTGTTTGAATTTGAAATAAAGAATTTAATTTTAAAATGTCAAGAAAGTCTGAAGAGTCAGATCAAAAACAACCCCAAGAAACACCCACAGATCCTCTTGTAGACAAGCCAAACTATGCACAGTATGATAGATATAGAAGAGATGAGCCAGAGTATCTTAAGCCCACTGTGAAATCAGTTGGCAAGCACTGGTTCGATGAGTATCCTATCGAAGACAGAAGAAAGCAGCTTCAAGATAGTCTCAAAGAGAAAAAGTTGTATGAAGAACAAACGGAACAAATTAATTATCACCAGTCATACCTTAAGAAAGATTATAGGGATTCTCAAAAAGAATATAAGTACGACCAAGCCCACAAATATTCAAGTTATGAACCAATTTTCATGAGCAAGGATGCTCTCAAAAGTAATGATGATTTTAACCCTGATCGGCTTAATCAGCTAAATGCTAAGGCTCCACAACAAGATTTTTGTCAATCTCCGAACAGAGATCCTCTCCAAAGAAGTTCCCGTTTCGAGAATAATCCCCATAATGACAGTCTTGAAAAGAAGGAATTTCACAGTTTTGGAAAGCAGAAGCCACAAATCAAGTCATATAACAGAAGCTTAGGAATTCACAAAAGAGCATTTGTCAATCACCAACAAAGAGATGAGAGGAAAGAGTCAGAGCGTGAAGAAAAACAATATGGAAGGAGTGCTTCTCACGGTTTTGAGAGAAACTTCAGAGGTATTAATCTTCCACCTTAAGCCCAAAACGACCCTCAAGAGACTGAGCATTTAAATGCAGAACTCAACTTTACCATGTCTTTTAAACTCCTCCAATCTTTGCGAAACCACATAATTATTTATATTTGCCATTAGAAACCCATGGTCTACCTTTTGTCTTCTTATTTTAACACGAAGATAGTTTATATTTGCTAGAAATAAGCTTCAAAAGGTTTGGATAACAAAACTGTGTATTTTTAGGAAATAGTCTGAAAGAACTTAAATAATCTCAGTCTTATTTTAATGTTATGGATGAATTAAAGATCTCTTACTACTTCAATTCATTCTTATTCTTAATAATCACAGATTTAGCAAATCGTCACACTCCTTCTTGACCTTTTCGTTGTATTTTATATTCAACAGACTCGAAGTACCTAAAGGGTTGAGAGCAGGATATTACGTCTCTTGGCAGTCTTTATGGAGAGATTTACTCTTATAGATCCTCTTGTAGCATTCTTAACAAGAAGTTTGATACTTAATAACAAATCGGCCTGAAATTTAAGGAAACTATCATTTTTATCAACTTTCCCTTCTCCAAACCTTTTGAGCCCAATTTCGTCGAAGGATGGTTGGCATTTCTTTGCTGTAATAGCACTAGAAAATAACACTTAAGGCTTACGTTCAATTCTGGCACTCATAATCTTAGAATTCTGTAGAGGGGATCTATCCCTCACCTTGAGACCTTTGTGATTCCCCGTGATTTTCAGACTGGCTCTCTTCTCCATAGATGCTTGTATATTCTGAAGCCTGGCATTCTTCAACATCTGAAGATGTTCACAGGTACTGAAACAGAAATGATTAGTCACTAAAATCAAGATTAAGAATTTATCAATGATACCTATAAGAAGTGGGGTTTTGGGGTTTTGGGGTTTTGGGG